CAACACCAAACGGGATTTGTTTTTGGGCTCGTCCGCTGCCAGTAATGGACTAAAAAGCTGGGAAGATGCAAGGCCGGAAGGAAAGGGGGAGAAAGATTAATCAAAGGGGGACATATTTTTTGGAGTTTGTTTACGATTAACGTTTTTCATACGTTTTGTGCTGTGCAATAGTTACACAACACGCACACTGTCGAGGCCTCGTCTGTATGTGTGCGTTGTGTGTCTGCTTGTACGCTCCGAACGCATTTTACCGGCGAGTTTCAGTCCGGGACCAGAATAGTTAAGAAGTCGAAATTTTAGTAGAATATTGCTCGCTCAAATGCGGTTCGGCAAACCTTTAGTCTTCACGTATCCCCCGATACCACGTACAACCTCGAGAAAGTTCTGGCGGGAGGATTATTATCTCAGGAACTACGAAAATTGGGAAGCCGAAATGTTAAGGTAATGTTCCCTGTCCCACTAAAAACCCAGCAGATTTAAACTAAGCCCTTCCATGCACCCAGATATCACATACGGCCCCTGGAATGTTTTGGTTGAGAAAACTACTATCTAGAGAACCATGAAAGTTTCGAGGCTAAAATTTTAGGAGAATGGCCTTTACTTACATACGAACCGTCACTTTAAATTTAGCCTTTCCGTTCGCTTGGGCACTGCGCATGTCCCCGTGGAAGTTTCGGCGGATTAAATTACTATCTCGGGGGCCACAAAAGTCAGGAGGTTGAAATTTTGAGGTAGTGTCCCCTGCCCGTGCACAACCCGAAAATTTGAATTCAGGTTTCGCTTAAGTCTGGGCTTCACGTGCGGTCCCGTGAACGTTTTGGTGGAAACTATTGCCTTGGGAGTGAGAACAGCTGGGAGGCTGAAAACTTCAGGAGGATGTTTTTTACTTACGCAGGTGCTTAACAAACTCAGTCTTAGCTCCCGAGTATGACGATTTTTTACATACGACCATATGGAAATCCTGGCGCGAAAGTTACTCAAATGCCGAAAAACTAGGAGGTTGAAATTTTGAAATAATGTTTGCCGTCCAAGGTTCCAAAGTCAGCTTTCACATACGCTTGCGTTTCACTTATGGTACGTGAAATTTTCAATGGGAAATTTCGCAGCTTAGGAGCGACAGCATATCAACTTTTTTTTATAGGCCAGTTTTATACTTTGAAAACAGTGAAAATGCTTAACAGGCAAACGTCCGCTGGACGGAACTCCACCTGGTGCGTACCACTATTTACTGTAATTGGAAACTTAATCGAAATGGGGAAATAGTTATGAGTTTGCGAAAATGCCTTAGGAAAATAATGCCGGGGCGTGTACGATCTTAGCAGTCATCCGAAGCTTCTGTGCTTATAATAATAAACAGAACACCATGGCAGGTTTACAGTGAAGATGCAAGAGGCCTTTTGCCCACGTCGACAGCTTTGGATCTATGCGTAGATACCTTGACAGAACAAATTTTAAAGCAAAACTTCGAGAAACTGCTCTT